GCGTGACACAGTAGATGTTGAGCATGAGTTTGATCAGCTTATGATTTTTTTTTATATATATAAGTCGGTGTGCTGAACTGAGCCGTACTCACCAAAATCAACACGTTATTCAATCAGATTCGGTAACGAAGGGTAAAACATTGAATCAGAGCTCGTAATCAATTGCATATATTTCAATGAGTCCCGCCTTAAAGATGCACGTTAATCATTACATTGACTTAATTTATCGAGCCAAATCGACGGTCTAACGGATTTTTGTCGGAAAATGGCAAAGTCACGTCAATTGCAATCGCAAATCATTATAATTATAAATAATGAAAAGTCACTTGGTTTCAACGAACAACAACAAAAAACTGTATGTTTTCTCGGACAAAGAGAGAGATTTTGAATCCTCATAAATAATTGGCGCAAACGCATTGCATCGTCATTGAATTTATAAAGTCTTGTTATTTCTTTTTTGTTTCAAAAATCATAAATAATGTGCTTCAAACAAGATGTTGCTATATTCTAGTACAGTGGCATTGCCATACACTGTTTTTTTGCATCTTTCTTTCGGAATTGCAAAAGCTCAAAGCAAACCAAAAAAAAAAAAATTGGATCAATAAACCAAAAGTAATTTTCTGCCACAATTTGTTTACGTCTTGAGTACAGGTTCTCTTTGTCTCTCCTCTCGCTCTCTCTCTTTCTCTTGCATCAATTTATTCATTCATTTTTAGGAAATAGTATTGAATAATCGAAATAATTCCTGCGGCGGTTAACGTTTAAATTATTCCATTATACCGGTTACCATTATTACATATGCATTACATGTTTCATATAAATATCAACTCTCACCCGTTTAAATATTAATGCGTTGCATGCAAGTGGCTTGTTTTGTGTGTTGTGTTGTGTCTTGTTTTCTTCGTATTTCGGGTATCCGAATGCATTCGGCGAATGCTAGCCATTAACAAGAGCCAAGAATCGTACACAAAATTGCCCATAAAGAAGATTACAAATGTATAACAACAACGAATGAAAAAATGAAAATGAAACGCGAAAAAAAAAATCACAAAATTTAGACAGTTTGCATAAAATAAAGTTTCGTTGTGTCGTTTCATCGCATTGACGAAACGCCAAAACGACAAGTTACTCCATTTAATATATTATAATTTATGCGTTTTACAATCATGAAATTTACAGATGCTCAGTTAGAGTGTGTGATCATATACCAACACGGTGCGCGCGACAAAGGTTGAGGACACGTTTCAAATGGCCCTTGAAAGCATGAAGCTTTTTTTTGCTCGCCTCTTTGTCGATTCTCTTTTTTTTTGTTGAGCGATATAGTTGTTGTAGTTGTTACTTGTTCTGTCTGTTTCTACGCGCACCGTCACTGGTGAAACTGAATAAGGTAGAAAGAGAGAGAATGAGAGAAGTAGAGAATATGTGTGATCTCAATTGAGCTCATTCATTCGATCATACTACACTAGCCCCGTACAAAATGGGAATATCTGATAATTTTAATTTTTGAAGTACAAATGTTAATTGAAATGGCGCGTCATTATCTTTATTATTTACCTTTTGTGACGTAAATAGATTATTCATTTGGTTGACAATTAGTAACTTGAGACGCCAAATTGAGACAAATATATTTCACTCTCTTTCGCACAGAAACGGAAAGAGAGAGAGGGAGAAAGAAAGATGAAGGAAGACTCAAAAAAATACAAAACAAATATGTGAAATAGTTTATAAATTCATCGAATTGAATATTTAACGTGCCATTGTCGTTTGTTAATGTAAATGATCGCAATTTTATTACCTAGTAATTAATTGTATATGTATGTACTTAGGTTAAGCTGTTCAAATAAATACCCTGTACAATGTTTAGAGATTGATTTAAAACGATATCTTTCTCCTTCTTCATGTTTTTGCTTCTCATAAAGTTATTCGCCTTTTCAAGTGGCCACCACTTAAGATAGGAGTCTCTCTCTTTTTTTAAAATAAAACAAATGTAAATTAACCGTGAAAATTGATAACGTATGGATATCCATTGGAAAAGTTCATCAAACACAAGCATCATAATTGATAGTTTTAAAATGGCATATAGTATGAGAATTTAGAAAAAAAATGTCAGTGTTGACGCGAGAAAAAAAAGTCTTGAAATAATGTTCAAGGATATCGCGGATTTATTCTTGAATATATATATATATATATATGCTCGACGCAAGACGTCATCATTATTATTAATAACAAACAAAATCGCGTGTGTGTATAGGTAGGTACATATCCGAAATACATTTCATCGATATTTATGTACGCATAGTAACGCCAGCATTGATTTTTTTCTTCTTCTTGGTTGGTTGCATGGACTTAATAAGCGCGACCACAAAATGTGATTCATCTCTCGGAACTGGAAATAAAGTATCCGAAAGTGGAAACAGCAGTAGCAGTGGCGACGGCTACAATAACAACGAAAATATAAAACTCACCGTTCACGACTTGATATGTGAACATGTGAACATTTTCGTCAGCGAATTACATTTAATTGCCGAATTCAAGTGATCTCTCATTCTTATCGAATGTCGACCGACACATTGTTCAATCTGAATGTTATAAGCCACTTGGCAAAATATTTATTACTATCGATCAATTTTTTTTTTTTTATTGCAGTTCTGTCAAAGAACACCCGAACTGAGAGTACCAAATTCTCTTCAAAGACGGTATTTCAGTCGTTTTGGTTTTGAACGTTGTTCAATATTTGAGGAGACTTGAGAAATGGATGAAAATGAAAATACGCGATAGAAGAAGCTGAAATATCAATTACAAAGGCAAAAAAAAAGCAAGGCAATCATGTGTTTTCATTTTGGCAAATGTGAGTGTGAAACCATCATTTGAACGTATGCTTGCAAATGAGCACGAGATAAGACATGATTTTATGGGTTCATAAAGTGAATCAACAACTTTCCAAACAAACAAACAAAAATTGTTTTCCCTTGTTAAAACCGATTTATTAAAATAAAATTAATCACGGCCAAAAGGCGAATGATTGATTCTGTGAGTCTCGGTCAAAATCGACTTATACGCTGCGGCAGCAACGGGAAAAAGAATTAATACACCGTTGATTGATAGTAAATTGCATTGAAGATAATCCGATAGAAATGAATTCATTGAAAATAAAGACGTGTTTCCTTCGTTCTGCAACCAATGCACAATGCTCAATGCACTCCGCTTAATTGAACTCTAAACGAAGAAAAACTGGAAAACTTTACATCAGCTTGATCGTTATCATCAATGACAACAACAGTAAAGTATCAGATTAACTGTGATTGCCTTGTTTCACATTTGTTTTGTTTTTTTCAAGATTCCGCTCGTTCATCACAGCACGGGCTCAATCGATGATTTTATTTTAATTTCTTCCAATTGCCGGATATCATTTCGATTAATTGATGATTCTTATCCATTCACACGCTCATTTCTCAATCAATTTATTAACTAAATAGAGAATTTATTGAACTCAATTACTACATATGTTTCTTACTTCCCTGGCCACTCGTTTTTTATTTATCAAAAAATGATCATGTGCCACAGTTAAACGCACTACTCATTTGCCTTTGGTGGATTCGTTTTTACTTTAGAATTCTATTTTTAATTAAAAAATGGACAGTTGAAATATTCTTTTATTAGATTAGACGCAAAAAGAACCAAAACAAGTATTCTAAAACGGATGAAAAAGCACTTACGGTAGCTATTTTCATAATACGGAATAAACAAAATAAAAATAAAAACAAATCAACAAAGTTTCGGCTAAATGAACTTTGTGATGGAAGTTTTAAAATAAACACACACTTTAACCAACATTAAACAACACAGCCATTCAAATGCTACCTTTTAATTCTTGATGTTTTGCTATGCGGCAAATTTGTGTTAGAGAAATAAAAAGAAAATAGCACTAAAAAAAATTTGTTTCGGTTTTTCACTGTAATCGATTTTCAAAGTCAATTTTTCCGCAAATAATTGAATAAACACGTTTGTAATTGTATTTACAAAAAAAATTAATTATTTTCGCTTATGTTTCGCTTTCCGTATGCTTTTTTGTTCGCAATTTGCAATTCAGCGATTTTTTCCCGTATTTTTCACTTAATTTCCATACAAATTTGCTCGACGCTTTTTGTTGTCGTTGTTGAGCAAATTTTTTTATCTTTCTTCGTAACAACAGAAATTTGACGATCATACTGTTGATCCTTTAAAATATGATCGTAATTCCCTGAATCGTAATTGATTTAGCAGGACTTAAAATCACGACCATTTTCAACAGTCCATTAATATATTTTTGTCAACAGTTTTCCCATTTTTTTTCGTGTGTGTTAACTTTGGAAAAATGGCTGTTTAATTTCACAAGTTTAATTTTAATATGACACATAAAAAATTCGGTTTTTTTTTTTCACCAAACACATATTCACTAACACCGAATTGCGCACATGAATGCAAAAGCAACAACAGCCAAAGAAGCACCCGGAGATTCTAAATTGTTTTCATTCAAATTATTACAATTATTTTGATGCAAGGAATCGTGCGCTATTATTTTAATTTATATGATTTCCACATATTCTTGTCATTGACAATTCTATTTCGCTGGACACGCTGACAACAATACTGAACAATAAAACTGAATTCTTTTTTTTTTTGCAAAGTTCGAGATGAGTGCAAAATAAGAGAGAAAATCCGATAATGCTGAAAATGAGATCAGAATAAATTGCATGTTTCGCAGCAAAATGATCAACAATAACGACCAAAAAAATTGCTGCAATCTCAATTTTGATTTTTTGTTTGCTCTTGTTGAGGGAGTGCGAAAGAGAGAAAGAAAGCGATGAGAAGATAGAGCTAAAGCTAGAGTGTTTTTTTTTTTTGTTTAAATATTTTTTCCGAGAAATAAAAATTGTGTTTCAATCAAAAATGGAAATAAAATCGTGCGCTTAACATTTAAAATTACAAATTATTGAAATTAAACCGGCAATTCATCTTACTTGCGTTACAATAGCACCATCGAAATAACAATATCGTTTATTTTGTTATTGGTTGTTGTTGTTGTTAAAGTTATCGTTGTTATTAACCGCAAGAGAGAAATAAAAAGAACGACGTTTTTACTCTTCCGCAGAATATCACTGAATGAGCGAGTTTAAGCTGTTTTGTCGACAATACCGCTACATATTCGATTCACAATGACTACGACAACGACGACGATCGATGTGTGAACGCTGAACGAGAGCGCACAGCAACGGCGGTGGCGGCAACGACAACGACGACGACAACCACACTGTACAGACTATGTGTGACACAATATACGATGTTCATCAAATGAATATCACATGTATACTATTTGGCACGTGAGAAAATGATTGAGTACTTGGGCTTGCTACTTTTTTCGCGTGCTCCATTGTATTTGTTGGTACTGTGTGTGTGTGTTTGTGTTTTATGGACTTATGTTTGTTCATGATTTTTTGTTCCCGTCGATGTGGTGTGTTTGCTTACTCGTTATTATTGTTGTTGTGACTTGTGTGCGGTGTGTGTGTTTTCTTTTTGTTTCGTTTGTGTTGTTTCGGTTGAGCTTTTTCAATTTTAATTCATCAGTACACATTTATTTGGCTATTTTTTTATCGTTTTTTTTTTCTTTTTCGGGCACTTTTTTCAATTGCATTTTTTATATTCTGTCCAAAATTTTGCGAACGTTTCGTATAGATTCTGTTTTTGGCTTTTGAATTTCCAATTCAGAAACGATAAATGCCGGTATGCGATTATTTTTTGTGCTCTCTTTCTCTCTCTCTCTCTCTCTCTCTCTCTCTCTCTCTCTCTCTCTCTCT